ATTTGGAAAAAGCTGGTAAAGAGAAAGAAGATATTCTGGATTTTGAAGCCCTGTGATCGGAAGATGTCACTAATTTGGCCATACGTGTTGTTACTCATAAGTCAGGTTTTTGTTGTTATTACCCAGCCCTTTCACTGAAAATGTCAATGCGCGTGATTGCAAGGTAGTCCCAATATTTTGTGTTCCCTAGAGCTTGAAAATACTGTTATCGTCAATGATTGGATATTCATTCACATGCATGAAAAACTTGGAAAATATTTCTTCCGCATTCCACATGAAAACACCTCTTTGGAATTAAACTTATGCGTAATAATACGAACAAAATTACGGACTTTTTTCGATCAGATGCGTGGTTCGCGGTAACGGATCTTTGTGCGCGGTACAAGAAATATGTTCGGAAACAAGGAAATGGTGGTGCGCGACATAAGATTTCACATTCGCGATATGAGATTCGTGGTTCGAGTGCAAGGAACGTAGTTCGCGGTATCAGAACTGATGTTCGCGTTGTTGGAAGTCTAGGAGGCCTGTGTTTGCATATGACTAAGATGCAGTTTTTCAGTTCAGCAAACAGTCCAATGAAGGTGTTTACTTTAGCTCGTCACACCACATGCAAATAAACAGTTATAAGTTTGTTTTGAAGGGGTAGGATGGGAGTTATTATTATTATTATTTCTGTTTTTCCTAGATGTTGACTTACTGACTTAACCCCTTATATTAAAGCTAAAGTCAAGGAACTTGAGAATCAGGCTTGGGTTATGTTAGCTTGACAATTTTAATTTCTGCCACCAAATGTCTGGTTTCTGGACCCCATTCCTCTTGAAATAATAATTTTGAGCAATTTGTTCTTGGTTTTCGTCATGTACTTTTATGTGATATTTTCAATTCCTGCCTCCAAAAGTCTGGTTTCTGGACCCCCTTCCCCTTGAAATAATAATTTTGAGCAATTTGTTCCGGTTTTCATTATGTACTTTTAATCTTTTATGTGATATTTTCAATTCCTGCTACTAAATGTCTGGTTTCTGTACCCCTCCTCCTGAAATAATCTTTTTAAGCAATTTGATAGGAATTTGTCATGATAATATTTATGCTGTTTAGGATGAAGAGAGAGTGGCTTGTCTGATTTAACATGGATATACAAATTAAGTTTGCATTTAAATATGTATATTGTAAAAACGATTATAACAGTTATATATTTATATAAAAGCTAAATGATCATTGCAGATAGTCTTGTTACTTACCTATTAGAAGTTATTATTAAGAATTATATACTAATAATACTTTTCATGAGAGAATTGGGTATTGCCCAAAGCAAACTAAAGGGGAACTTGTTTTTTTTCAAAGGAATGTCACAGCTACAGAAGGCCTTCATCTTATTCTGCCTAATAAGTCTATTTCTAGATTATGCAAAGCAATATGGACAAATGATAGAATGTTTAACATTCTTTTTTAGAAGGCTAGATGCATTTAGCTCTGTCCATTCATCATTCTTGATTGGGGTTTGTTTCAACTGTCCAAAATGGTTAAAACAAAGAATTAACAGGCTCTTTACATATTTTTTTCTTTATTGCAAAACAGCATTTCTTGCCTAATTTTGAACTTGTTCTTCAATACCTATAATACCTTGTAAAACCAGACGGCTGGATATGGTAAATCACCCAGAGGCATTCTGGTTTAGATCAGTAGATGATCATTAGTTGGGGTATAGGGGAGGTCATGAGAATTACTTGAAACCTCACTTAGATTTCATCATAAGCAACACAGGTTTGGATGTTTTTAAGAAGTATTGTGCTATTTGGTTGAAAATTGACAGAAGTAACCCTTTGTATTTTGGATAGATTACTTGTTAATACATGTATTTTTATGTTTTTGCTCATTGTGACTATTTAAAATTCATTAGTTTTTCTGCTTAGGTTTTCTTCAGTTTACTTGAAAGAGAATAATTAGGTGAGATACATATACATCTGTAATATTAATAATCATTTGTAGATACAGTCCCATATTTCCCAGTATTGTTATGTACAGACCCAAGGGGGTTTAGCCAGTTCGGAATTGACTAAGCTATGCCTAAATTATTTTTTATATAGATAAATGTGAAAATTGCCAAATATCATGCTTGGGATAAATATGATCACATATATGAGATAGAATCTATATATTAACAGAACTTAAGGACGAATAATAATTTTTCAAGAGATTTCAGAAATGTTTAATCATTTATACATTTTCTATACTGACAATATATTTGTTGTGATAGCCATTTTCAAAACATAAATGCAATACGTCGTCCCATAGTAGGTTTCCAATCAAATGAAATGTATTTCAGAATCAAAAATGTGTATGGCATTAAGTGAAATTGGTAGTCTATGGGCTTAGCAATACAAACATGGAAAATGTATGTTTTAGCTGTACATTAGATCATGCTTCACATTATTTACAAAGGGACTTGTCATGTTTCGTGAAAATATTTAAAACATGACTGCAGGATTAGATACAAATTGTACTGATATTTGAAATTATTGAAATTTAAAATATTGAAAGTGACGAGCTGATATAATTAGTGTTGCTGTGACATTTCTGGCACCTACACAATAGTATCATGTGATCTTACATGCTGTCCCTGATTGGTTAACATCTCCCCCACTTATCCATCTTTATTGGCATATCTAATGGAGATTTATAGGCTTGGTATACATAAATGACTATAAGTATGCTATAATTATCTTATTTATATATATACATCTTTTATTGACTCTCTGATGTCATTGCAATGACATATTAGTCACTACAAATTACAATATACAAAATTAAACTAAGACTAAACTAACTACTTCATAGAAAATATACAAAGTTGTAAAATACAATTACAGCATCACAAAATATAAAATACAAAAATATGAGATGTTGTAAAATACAAATACAACATGACAGAATTTAAAACATCAGAGTGATGTATCATTGTCACAATATTAATACAGTTTTTTGAATGAATGATAAATGAACTTTGTTAGATGTAAAATTACATAAGAATTTTTAGGACTACCTACAAAATTAAATTGTGTAAAGGTGTCAAACAGAAGTTTTTTTCTGTTGTATTTTTCTTAGACATCATGATAAAGTGTTGTTCATCTTCTAGAACCTACAGACCAAATGTAGTTCATAATTCATAGGGATATGGAGAAGCAGTTCATTAGTTCATCGGCCTGTTTGTATGTCCGAGTGATAACTCAAATACTAGTTAACAGATTTGGTTCAAATTTATATACTGATGCTCTCCTTAAGCAGGAATTTTCGAGATGGCTGCTCAATTCAAAATGGCTTCCATTTTCATGAAAACGTTTTAACATTCTCACAATTCATTTCGTTCGTTGCGTACCTTCACTACCTCTCTGACGTTGTTAAAATAGTTCTAAAATTCCCGGGGCACGATCTTAGAAAGCTTCAGAAATTAGTACTTTCTTTATTACGAAATCAACAATGCCAAAACTTTATCGTTTTACAAATCATAACGTTTACAAATGATTTTACCATCGAAATTGGTGATCAATGTTGTATTTGATGTGTTTTTAGGTAAAAATCTCTGCAGAGCAACAAATTGTAAAATGTCAAGATCGATAATCACTGGGTTCAACATTACTACACGATTTCAAGATGGCGGTGTCAAAATTTTCTAAAAACGCTTCAAATAATATTATGTTAATTTCTGGCGAGTTCACCAATATCATAATTTGTTATCTAACAACAAGATAAAGAAATATGTAAGAAATGTAATTTTCTTGATTAAAACATCACATCGACACGTGGTATTCGTTTATTAGACGATTAAGATTACGAATATGGGGATGACGTCACTTCAAAACGAACTGCATAGCAACGGTGTTAATAAACAATTTCTGTCCTTGCAAATTCCTAAGTATTCGTTTTTAACAGTTTGTTACGAATTACTGAATATTTTTCTTATGAATGAGTTCTAACTACATTAAAAATAAACATTTTATAAACTATAACGAATAAAATCAGTAGCAAACGCAAAGAAATATATTTTTTGAAGCAGGTCAAAATATTTAGAAGGGTAAATTTCGCGGGAATTTAAACAACTGCATGAGGTAAGGCACAGGAGGTATGGATGGCACTGGACGAAAGGCTCGGAGACTGACGTTTTAACTTAAATTCCAGTTTGGGATTCAATGCAAATGTAAAATTTGGAAGTAATTCTTAGGATTCAATACTACTTAACTATTTCCTGGTTATTTCTACCATGTAATGTCCAAAAAGGTTTTGTTTGGTGGAATTTGCTACCCCAAAGAGTTGCTGTTTTCCAGTTTAAAATAATTAGACAGACACTGACTTTTCAAGATTCTAATTTTTCTGTTCTCCATTTTTATAAGAGAGGTGGTCAGAAACTGTCTCTCGTTATCTCTTTGGGTTATCTGGCATTAGATCTCTGGTTTGTTATTCTTGGTTACATGGCTAGTTTGTGGTCATTGACTCTGCTTATTTATGTGCTATCATAGCTGGACAATTGTTTTGATAGGAAACTGCATATAACTAGCCAAGTCACACTTGCAGAGCCTGGCCTATACAAACAAATAATCACTCAGTCAGTTAGAATCTGGGAGAAAAATTCTGATAAATAACAGAAATGTTGATACAAATGTAAAATTTGGATGTAATTCTATGGACACCCATCCCATATACATGTAGTTTAGGTGTCAGATTGTTTTTTTACCAAAAGTTCTGATATATTTAAGTCAGAGAGAGTGTTACAATCAAAATAAAACATTAGCTGACCTGATTTTTGTATATAAATATCAACCCTACACATCTCTCAAAAATCCTTAATATGGAATCATATTTCACTTTTAAAGTATGTAAAAATTTTAAAAGTATTGTATGATGGAATGATATGAGCCTATTAGAAATCTGATTTTGAAACAATTTTAGAAAAAAGTTTGCACTCTATCATTTATGCCACTTGAAATGAAGTTTGTTTTGTTTTTCAGAATTGGAATGACAAGAATTGCATAGAAGATGGTAGTTCTCCCATTACTACATACTGCAGAGAAACAACCATAAACAGAAGAAACACTGAAGAAATACATCCATGACAGGCATTTCTGGTAAGTGCTAAGGTTACTAAAATACATTGATATTATATTTGTTGTTACGATAAGTATCAGGCCCGTAGCCAGAATTTGCCAAGGGGGGTTTACATTTGACAATTTTGGTCCAAATATGGCTGAAATCGCTTGAGAAGTGCTCATAGTGGTGAAAAACTGCATGATTTTGAAAGAATATTTGGCCAGGGGCTGCAAACCCCCCCCCCTGGCTACGGGCCTGAGTATATTGTACATGTGGTTCATTATTTGCTACAGGCTCACAATATAACATCACATGTTAAATGAAAGTATTTTAAAACTGTTAAAATGTTATATGATGCAAATGAAACCATCATAATTAATCATGGAAAGCTGTTTCCTGAGGTCAGCTTTGCTTTTCATGGTTGATCTCACCAATTTTAGTTTAATTCTTATCTAAGGATTTACCAAGATCATCAGATTTAGAAGACTCAGTGAACCTTACTATTTTGGAAAAGTATTAATAAAGTTCATCAACTATAGTGCTTTTTGATATCTTAGAGCTATCACTTTCTGACTTTTCATCGTTATAATACTTGGCAAAATTATTGAGTGAAAATGAAAATCGATTGGAGGAAATTTTTCTATCTACTGTGAAATTGAAGTCATGCCACTCCTAACCTTATAGTATTCGCAATCAGGAATTTGTCCATACCCATTGGATTTCATAGAAAATCTAATCATATTGTCAGATGGCTAATTTATAAGATAAATGTTGATCAGTCACATTAGGTAACCAAATATTCCATAAAATGATATTTACAATGATGAAACCTGCAGATAAACATGAACTTGAAAGGGGTGCCATAAATAATCCACATCCTGTGATGTGAAACTACATTGAGCCCCCTGATTTCCATCATAACGCAATTTGGCAGAATTTGTACCACAGCATAAACTAAGAATTAATGGTGCTGGGGAACATAGGTTAAACTAATCCAGAGCTCAAGTTTTATTTGCTAATTTGGGAGTTTTTTGTCTGAGTCTTTATCTTTACTTCCTTCCTGGTGATACATCATTTAGGGGGGACCATTAGACCTTTTGGGACTTTTTTACACCATTAAGGGGGGATCATTAGACAATTGGGGACTTTTATTCTTGACCAATCTTTACTTCCAAATAATGAAGTTCTTTACTACCAAAACATAAAATAGTTGTTTAACCTCATTACTACATGGAGTGACGAGATTTCTCATCACCTCAAAAATGACTTTGAAACTCAGAGTGAATGTCAAAAGCTTACAAAAATGAAAAACTCTTTGGTTTCAACTGATTTTAGAGCCTGGGATTCAAGAGGTTAACCATTTTTCAGAATATGTGAACATAAAATTAGTCATAATTTTTGATCTAAAAGATTAAAATTCAATATTTTAATATTTAATCAATGTTCTCTGCTTCTGATTCAATGGTTGTCCCCTTACCCGAGCAGTTTTGAATATAATCTCTCTTATCAGATGCTTTACTCTACCATGTCCTAGACTTCACTACAAATCTACAATTCAAACTTTTCCTCATGAAAAAACTCATGAGAAAAATAATCTTCACTAATACTTTTATAACTTCATTTGGTCAAGAGCTTTATGTTGCCAAATTCGAATTACATTTTATATACTTTATTAGCAAAAATGAAAGAATGCAAACAGTGTGGGGAAATTTCATCAATGATTCTGGCTCCAAATTTCCGCTTATATATCAAACTTAACTCTCTTGAGAAACTGAGATGTATCACATTGCTTGTAAATCATATCATATTGCCAATAAAACATATCACATTGCTCAAATTAAAACATATTTTCAGTGTAATTCAAGCTATTCCGATTGCAGAAGTTATTTTCTGTGTGTACAGCATATTGTATATAAACTGGGTTTAGTTGGTGCACTTTGTATATTTCAAGTTCAGTGATCAATCTAGTCTGAATACAAAAACACAGAATATTAAGTGCAACTTTTTTGGACGGAGAGATCAAAGTGATAGCAGAGACTTAAGTTGAAGTGTTAACCAGATTTGAAAAAGATAGCGAGGCTAAAAGACATAAAGGCAGCAACTTTGAAGATGATGGATTCTCACAAAGTGATGTCATTGGCCATATGTCAATTTTATCTCACGTACAACGTGACCTGATTAGAATCAGCAGTATTTGAGTCAAGGTACAGGAAAAGGGGTCTTATCACAGATTTTTTCAATATCTTAAAAAGCACAAAGAGACCTTTCAAATGAGCCATGGCATATGTCATAACAAATTTTCCTCGCAGATATAGACCAAAAAGATGGATTTGGATTTAGCACATTTTCATCTTAATCTTGGACCGATTTTTTGGCTCTGTAGCACAATTTTAATTTTTTGATGAGATCAGTTTTCCTGTGTTGAGGCTCATTTGGCTTTTATCTTAGTAAGGGTTAATAAATATTAATGATAGGCTCCATTCATTCAAAAATCTAATTACCAATGCTGTATGTTAATATTAATAAGTGTGTATTTAATATATGGCTTCAATTAACACATCTGAGACTAGTATAGATAAGTATAAGTGTGTTTATATGACCTTACTGAAGTGCTGCTTGGTAATAGCAAACTGAAGGACTCATTTGTATCAAATATATCAGATCTTCAGACACATCTAAGTTATTAATAATCAGAGATCTGAAGTAATCTGTATGAAGTACCCAAAAGATAACTCTCAAAATGCTAAAGATGATTTTATTAAAATACACAAATAGAAATATAGAATGAGAAGATATCTTTGTGTTCATAGAGAGGTTTCACACAGCAGGATATTATAATAACTAAAATGTATTCGCATGCCGCAACTTCATCTCATTTTAATTGAACTGCTACGCATAAATCTGGTGAATGCATATTACAGCTTTTAGAAATGTTGGGCTAAAAACATTGTACAAAATGTGAGATATGTGAGAGATTTCACTCATAGAGGAAAGTATAACTTATGATCATTCGTAGAGCTATTTCTCGTTTGTATTGATGATTAAATACTAATAATATAACTTTATGCCAATTATTGCTGTGGTTCCAGACCAATTATATGTCCGAACTAGATCAGGGTTAACTCACTTACATGTACTGTCATGCTATGTTTTATAATCAATGGCTACTATTATAGATGTAAAGAATTATGCGACAAATGATGACAAAAATTATAATCAAAAATGTATAAACACTCTATAAGTGAGTTACGAAATCTCTCTAATCTCAGCATAATTTGCAGTGCAATAAGAGTTTTATATGTTTTAAGAGGTCTGATATTTTTAGCTTGAGCTATTGCAATCACTCACTTGTCCGTCTGTCTGTCCGTCCATCCGTCTGTCAGTCTGTCTGTCAACAGTTGGCCCTTTTTAAAACCTCTGTCGATAATCGGCAAAAAATTATATCAGTTTTTTTTTTATTTTCAGCCATTTTAACATTGATTTGTCCATCTGTCTCGTAAAATCCACTTTTGGACCACTTGGCTTAGAACCTCCCGTTTTAAGTTATTTTTGTTCAACATCAATACAGAAAACTCCCCTATGACTCCTGGTTCAAAACCTCACCAATGGTCGCCATTTTGTAAAGAGCAGTTGTATGAAACAATTTTGTTACAAAAAATCGGCAAAAAATTATTTCCGTTTTTTCTATTTTCTGCCATTTTAGCCATCATTCACTTTTGAGCAACACCATGTTAGCCCAGTACCCACGGTACTATTTATTCATATTCTCTTATTTTTCATTGTAGTTTCTTATAATAAGATATTGTAAAATTTTCTTAAAGTGAGACTTAGAGTGAATGATAAAATTATGTTTTTATTGGAACCTTCCATTCAGTATGTTTGCATGGAGCAATGTATTCTTATATTTTTCATTGTAGTTTCTTATGATAAGAAAGATATTGTATCATTTTCTTAATAGTGGACATTTTTGCTCTTATAAGGACATACTAACATGTTTGCCTCATTCAGACAGCACAAGAAATGGCAATCTCAATGTTCAGTTCATATTAAGTTTGTTCAAAAGCAATATCTTACTTTAATTGTCAAATATAAAGTATTTACAGAATGACAATATATGTGGACATAAGTGCTAAGCATATATGTCTGGTATTTTTCAAGAAATACAAACTGGTGGATTGTGAACCTTTATGACTTTTTACTATGTTTTGAATTACTTTCTAATGAAAAGAGAGTCTCAATATAGAGTAACAAGAAGGATTATATCTAAAAAGGTCTCAAATTGATTCACATTAGTTTTATTGTCATTGGTTTGAACAGCTTAAGATACCATAAGTGCCAATTGAGACACTATTGGCTCTTTAGAATGGGTGAAAGTTATTTTAGCATGACTTGTGTTCTATTTCCAGATTAGCTAGACAATATATGACACGAATGTACTAACACGGGGTCATTAGATTCATAAATACCCATAATGCAATTCTCTATGGTGTCTGCCATTTTGGTGGCAGTGATCTCTGGAGCCATCTATTGGCAATACTCTGAAGGACAAAGACACTCATATAAACACAGAGCCCGGGAACAGAGACAGAGAGATGAAGCTCGGGCAAGAATACCAAATCAACGGCATCATAAAAAACAACATAAACGTAGTGACAAGCCTAATATAGTGATTGTCATGACAGATGATCAAGATTCTGAGTTAGGTAAGAAAATGTAGGCTTACCATGAGAATTGAGTTTTTGATCAAGCTTTTCATATTAAGATTTTTCTATCAACCTATTACTGAACAAAATTGAGTATGAATTACTAGTTATATACACTGCTTGAAGTAACTAAGACAAAACAAGAAATGTGGACCATCACCTGTGTGTAATATAGATTTCCCAAATCAACCTTGAAACTTTTGGTCTTCTATTCCAGGTTCAATGCAGTTCATGCCTAAGACACTGAGACTTTTAGAAAAAGAAGGGGCTCATTTTGAGAATGCATTTGTAACAACTCCAATGTGTTGTCCATCTAGAAGTTCTTTCCTCACAGGAATGTATGTACATAATCACAACACATATACAAACAATGATAACTGCTCCAGTATTTCCTGGCAGCAGACACATGAAACCAGAAACTTTGCCACATATTTAAGTAAAGCTGGATATAGAACAGGTGAGTGGGACCTTTTTTTGACCCCCCCCCCCAAATCTTGGGGATATAAACACTCCTTCTCTAGTTAATTTTCTGGAATTGTGGAGGTCCTTCATAACTAATAACATTTACTTAAAACAAACATTTTCTTTATGTAGGGATTTCATTTGCAGCAGGCAACAGGCGATTTTCACTGGTTGTTTTTGGTCATTCCGTCTGTCTGTTCGTCAGTTTGTCTGTTCATCCGTCCGTCCATTTGTGAGTCTGTCCGGGGAATAACTCAAACACCAGTTGACTAATTTGATTCAATTTTATAGGCTTATGCCTTGTGGGTGTAGGAACTCTGCTCAAGAATGAATTTTCAATATGGCCGCTCAATTTAAAATGGCTACCATTTTTCGTAAATAATGTAATCTTTGATAACTCAAATACCAGTAGACGGATTTGGTTCAAATTTTATATGCTGATGCCTAGAGACATAGGAGCTCTGCTCAAGAAGGGATTTTCAAGATGGCAGTTAATTTTTTTTAAATGGCCACCATTTTTCGTAAAAGAATGTAATCTTTGATAACTCAAATACCAGTTGACGGATTTGGTTCAAATTCTATATGCTGATGCCTAGAGACAAAGAAGTTTTGCTCAAGAAGACATTTTCAAGATGGCCACTGAATTTTTAAAAAATATAATCATTGATAAATCAAATACCAGTGGATGAATTCAGTTCCAATTTTATATGCTGATGTCTAGGGACAAAGAAGATCTTCTTCAGAAGAAATTTCAAAGGTGTCAGTTGAATTTCAAAATGGCTGCCATTTTTCATTTTCGTAATCTTCAATAACTCAAATACCACTAGACGGATTTACCTTAGATTTTATATATTGATGCCTAGAGAGCTCTGCTCGAGAAAATTTCTGGATATCTCTGCCATTTTTCATTAAAAATGTAATTCAAGTACCAGTTGACGGATTTGGATTAGATTTTATATGCTGATGCCTACGGCCATAGGCGCACTGCTCAAGAAGAAAGATTGTAGCTGAATTTTAAAAGGGCCACCATGTTTCAAAAAAAAACATAATCTTTGACAACTCAAATACCAGTAGATGGATTTTGCTCAAATTTTATATGGCCACTATTTATCAAAACATATTTTGTTCGGTGGGATTTGCTACTCCATGCTGTTTTTCTAGTTGTGTTAACAGTTATCGTTATCATCCCCCTCCTATTCCAATTTACATTAAATTAGTAAAATCAGCTAAGTTGATAAAAAAAGTAGCTTGATGTGAGTATTAGGAGGAGAATATTATGAAGAAATAAGTATCATTATTGAAACGAGCGGCATACATCTGTAAGATTGAAATCTCACAAGCAAAGCGAGTGGCTAAAATTATTTCAAATTTTTTAATACTGTAAGTGAAGCAACCGAAAAAAATTTGCACCCATCTGAAAACAAATCCGAGGGAGATCACTGAGAAGAGCAATTTTGTTGAAGCATGGCACAGTTTCTCTAGATAACTTCCAAAGGAATGATTTTGTTGATATTTTATAGTACTATGTAAATGGTGCAAGAATGGCACATTATCCTTTTGCAGTAAATCTAAAGTGGCCATTCTTTGACATGATTCCTAGTTGTACATGGGATTTGCTATGCCTTTGTGTTGCTGTTATCTAGTTGTTAAAGGGTTACTGAAACATTCGGACACATCTTAAAATTTTGTTTTCAATTGGATGACTTAGCATGGGTATATGAAGAGGATATTCAAGTCTTAAACTTCAATCCCATTTGTTATAGGAATAATTTTTCCATCAATGTACTTCAGACACCCATGTGTGCACTTCATTAGCCTAAATCATCAAACGTGATTGAGAACATGTTCCACAGATTATCTCATCTTCGCTTTACAAAATTCAGCTTCTAGTCTTAGTTGAATGAAGATATCATATGGGAGCTGTTGACTCAGTTAATATGCTAATCGCTGATAACCTTTCAAATAGTTTTTGGAGAAATCATAATTGTAATAAATAAGGCCATGCCAGTCAGAACCACAATGTAAAAATTACCAACAACCCAGTTGCAAATTGTAATCAAGAAATCTGGTTGAGAGAAGTGAGTAAACATTTTTGACATTGTACTTTGGAATATTCCAGAAGAATAATATGCATTGTCAATTTTTCACAGGATCCTGCTGCTAAAGTATTTTCAGTGATGTAATTTAGTGCTGGAGACTTCTATTGAAAACGAAACAAAACAAAGTAATAAAATTCAAAGCAATGCTTATAGTACCCTAGGTAGACTTTCCACAGCATCCTTACATTTTTCTGTTTTCATAAGCACGCGGTAGGATCTCTTCGGGACGTATCGAAACCACTCCGTCCCGAAAAACCGTTAATTTGAATTTAAAACCTAACCCAGTGTTTGAAAATCAAGGATTGTGAGTCTCACACTTCACCATTTTTCTTCAAACTTGTTCCGTACAAAGCTTCACAGAAATACCTTTCAGTCGATACATTGTTTTCGTGTACAAAGTACCTCGTTTTAGCGACGTTTTGGTCCCCAGCTGCGAGATAAAGCAAATTTTCATAACTTTCAACTGTAAGTCAAGTTATCTCGCCAGTCTTTTACCCATTCTCGCTCATAATTTCAGAATGGACTCCCATTACAACCTTCCATCGCTACGTTTTGATTTTTGGGCATCAAACGCAGCAGTTTCTAAATCATCCACACATCTCTTAAAATTTGACTAATACGTCCCGTCACCTTCCACTACGCCCCGCCGAGTCTATGACTACAAACGTGGAGTTGTATTCTAAAACATTTTGTTCATCGATGTGTAATTTTACATAGGTTTGCCTTGGTCGATTCTTAACACCAGTCTTAAGTTTAGCATACATACGGAGTATAACTATAACTGATTGCATGAAATTGATAATTTAAATGTTTGTGAAGATGTTGCTTTTTAACTTTAATTATATGTTATTGTCCTGTATTTGATTTTGTGAGGAAACCAAGTGTCTGGTTTGAAACACAATATAATCTGGAATCCTGTTTTGCTAATGTTCAACATAAATAATTTATAAATTATCGGCCGAGGGCAGATTAGAGCGGATCAATCAATGATGTACAAAAAGTAACATGTAAAAGAAAAAACGCTATACTCACTGGTGATCCGCTCGATTACGCTGGTTACCAAAACGAATCGTTTTGGTAACAAGATGGCTGCTGTTCCGGCTGAAGAAATCGGTAAGAATTTTCGTTTTCCTTGATATCTCGAGATACAGCACGAATCATCCAGATCTTTTCGGCCGAAATATGGATAAGCAAAATATCTTTCTGGACAACCAAGTGATTTTAATCGAAATAGTTTGTTGGATGACAGGAACGCCCATTTAATCCCTCGCTTTGGTTACATAAACGAATTGATGATAATACGACAACGGTCACGCATTTGAACACACTTGTAACCGAAACGGTTATGTTTAGCTATTGATAATCAATCAAAGAAATGTATATGTGTTATTTCTTTTTTTGAACGGCATCTTATGATACCGCATATGTTTAAGTGCTACTACTGCAACACCGGGGATAATCAAATCGAACGTGTTATATAGAACATGAAATGAGACGGTACCTCACACAGGACCTTAAAGTGCATAAACGATATCTCAGGGAGGAAGTCGGGGGATTTAAGTATAGGTCCCACCATTTTGGGATAACGGTACAGAAAATAAAGGACCTCCAGAGGGAAGGGGCCAAGGTCTCCATTAATGAGACCACCACACTACAACTCCACATCAAGAGACTCTCATTACCCTGTGGAGGTTAGCCTTGCCTAAGTCGATATCTTTTTACTTATCTGATCTTGAATTATTAATAATAGAAATCAAAATAAGTAAAAGAGACCGACTTGGGCAAGGCTATGTGGAGGTGAATACTTTAAAACTCACTTTGTCCCCCACCTATGCATTTGGCCAAACTATGTTTATAAAAGTATTCCGAATGGTTCCGTTGATTATTTTAGAAGTTGAATATAGTGGATATAGTGACTTAAAAGATACTGAATTTGGATGACCAAAATGAGTTGAAACCAATTGTTTTTCTAAACGGGGAAATAACATTGTCAACACTCATCTTAAGAGAGTTCAGTTTTCATTTCAATAACTCATTGATATCAAAATAAAGAATATTCAAACATGACCGTGCTCTATTTGAATTTCTAAACCAATCAGAATGCAGCATATCCAATAATGAACGTTCATTATTTCTCCATATACTGTAGGCAAGACCGTGCTGTATTGAATCTGCTTCAAGGAATCTATATGCATGTATTGTGTGACATCACACCTGGGAATGGCGAAAATAACAGCAAGTTTGGTCATTCCTTAAGTAATGCATTAAACATTGTGAAAAATGATTGCATTGCATTGGTGAAGGGGAACATCTTTGTTTTTGCCTCTTTTGTTTATTCTTATTCTTGTTCTTTTACTGGTCACGTTTTCTCAACAACTACTGTACAAAGTATCTATTCAAGACAATTATATGGTCAATTAAGGTACAGTATCTAGTTGGTAAGAAATGGTGTCAAATTTTTATCTAGGCCAAAGGTCAAGAACTAGGTCAAATCCAGTACTTTGTCCTTTTTTTCAATTGTCTCGGTCATCTTTCAATATTTTCGCTCCGTTTTTTCTATTGTGATGACTATTGCTCTCTCATATTTATTTATTTACCTGTATTTAAACAGAGTGGTTTTAAACATATGCAGTTACTACTTAAATGATAATAACACTATTTGCTTAATTCTATGAAGAATGTTTTTATAGTTTTTAATATTCTATCGTCCAGCGTATTCTCTCCGAATTATTGATCTGGCTATGAATTTTATGCACTAAACATAAACATGTAATACGTATCAGAATGATACTATACAATATTATATCACAAAGAACATTTTGTCATGACTATACATATTTTCTAAGTTCATCATCATGCCACAGTGTAAATGTACTGTATGACATCCAAGGCAAAG